TAAAGAGATGTCAGAAGTCTGAGCCCATGCACAGCAGTGAGAGTTCTCAGCCACATGCGAGGTTTTCTTGTTTAGTTATCTTTTTCCTTATGGTTTTTTCCTACTTTTTTATCATGGTAAACTATCCAACATAAAATTTGCCATCTTTTTTGAAGCATACATATCCATGGTATTAAATCCTTTCATAATGTACAACCAGCACCACCAGGACCTCCAGGAGTCTTCTCACCTTGTAAAACTGAGACTCTGCACCCATTAAACAATTAACTCCCTGACCCCAACCCCAAGTCCCTGGCAATCTCCACTCAGTTGTCTGACTTAGGCGACTCTAAGTATCTCGTGTAAAGTGGAGTTGTACAGTTTTTGTCTTCTTGTTTTTTTTTTTTTTTTTTTGGTTTTTCTCCGGTACCGGGAACGGAACTCACGACCTTGCACTTGCCAGGCAGGCGCTTTTGCCACTGAGCTAAATCCCCAGCCCCGTTTTTGTCTTCTTGTAACTGACTTATTTCATTCGTCATGTTTTGTTTTGGTCTGGCTTTTTACTTTGGGGGATCTGAAGTGCTATCTCATTGTAGATTTGATTTACATTTCCCGAATGATTGTGATACTGAATGTCTTTTCATGTACTTATTGACCACCTGTATTTCCTTTTTTGGAAACATGTCTTTCAAGTTCTTTGACCATTTTTGTATTGGCTTTTTGATCCTTGAGTTGTGGATTTTCCTTGTATTCTGGATATTGTCTCTTACCCGATGTATGATTCGGAAGCATCTTCTCCCATTCTGTGTTGCCATTTACAGTGGGGAGTGCTTTGGATACACAAAATTTAAAAGTTTTCACGCAGCCCAATTTGTCCATTTTGTTTTTGTTGCCTGGGCCTTTGGTGCTTGTGATAGGCAACTGACTGTGCCAACCTAAGACATGCCCAACTCAACTGGCTTAGCACAGCTGTGGATGTGGAAGGCCACAACCAGAGAGGGACTGTCACCCCGATGACATAAAAGTGAAACAAAGAAGGAAGACTGGCTCCTGTTCATCTGGAGGAGCTCCAGTCTTCGCCTTCACCTTGGACATCATCTCCTGGCTTCCGGTGCAGACTCTTTAGCCTCCTGATTCCGACTCCCATGGGACACTACACCTCCGACTGGACCCTCTGGACTTCCAGTGTGCAGACAGACCCTCTGCACTCTTCCATCTCAGACTATGGGCAGTCACTGTAAGCCAAGCCTATAAATTCTTATATATATTTGTACATCTCGCATTAAATGTTTCTCTAGTAAGCAATGATTGGTTCAGTGTTGTGTCTAAGAAATCACTGCCAAATCCAGTGACATGAAACCTTTCACTTCTATTTTATTCTAAGTTTTAGGCCTTATGTTTAGGCCTTTGATCCATTTTGCGTTCAGTGTTATATACCTCTACATACCCTCTGTATCTGTGGTTCCACATCCATGAATTCTGCCAACCACTGATCAAAAATACTAAACAAGAAAAGAAGGAAGGAAAGAAGGAAAAGAAGGAAGGAAGGAAAAGAAGGAAGGAAGGAAGTGGGAGCAGGGAGGAAAGAGCATTTGTACTGAACATGTACAAGCATCCCCTCTTATGATTACTCTCTAAACAGCTCAGTATACAATAGTATTATACAGCACTTACATTGTATTAGACATTGTAAGTAACTAGAGGTGATCTAAAGTATTTAAGAGCATGTACACAGGTTATATGCAAGTAGTATGCCATTTTACACAGAAGCTTGAATATCCATGGATTTTGGTATACATGGGAGGAGGGCTGCAGCAGTCTCCGTGGACCCTAAGGAATGACTGACGGTTTATGGTGCTAAAAAAGGATATGAACTTAGTTCTTTCCCATTTGGATATCCAATTTTCCCAGCACCATTTGTTAAAAAGAGCATCTCTCACCATTGAATACCTTTGCAATTCTTGGCAAAAGCCATCTGACCATGTATATAGGACGGTCTATGTCTGGCCTCTCTGTTTCATTCCATTGGTCTGTATGTCTCTCTTTATGCCAGTATGACATTGTTTAATTACTGTTTGCTATTGATTTTTAACCTAATTATGCACAAACCCTGGTGTGAATTTCTTGAAATTTATCGAGGTTTGCTGTATGCTTGCACTATGATACACATGGTAATTTTCTGAAATCTTCAATGCATGAGTGAAAACGGTATGTTGGGTGCAGAATCCTATGTATGTTGTCTTTCTGCTGTTTGTGGCTTGCTCCTCTGTTTTGTAATTTCGAGCTCATGTTCACAAAGGTTGTAACCACAAGACTCCCCTGTGGCTTCGGCAGTGCGGATGGCCTCCGGTGAGCTTGTATTTGCTATTGCCGCATCTTCCGTGGTGTAACCCACCCAGGCTTGTTTCCTTTTATTAACTTCAAGCTTCAGGAGTTCTGAGACCATGTGAAAAACAGAAATTCACACTTCAAATTTGTGTTAGGGAAGGTCTAGACTTATCATTTCTCAAGAGAGAGTTCTTTTTTATGTTTCAACAGAGCCAGAAAAGAGACAGACAACATTTTTTACTGCCTTTTGCAAAACAGTGATTCTCTCTGCTCACATTTGCATTTTCATGGAGGATGTGGGTCCACTTTTATTCAGGCATTCTCGCTTGGCACCTCTGCTGGGCAAGGGCCCCAGGCCTCATCTCTCATTGCTACAGAGGTGTAAAATCCTTGATCCCCAAGATCAGCAAAGGCCACTCCACCCTCTCCCCACACTCCAGCACCTACATCCCCCACCTTGCAGGGTACCCAAAGGATCAGTACCTGCTTGTCATTCTGATTTTTGGCTTTTTATTAATGGAGATTTTTTTTTTAGTACCTTGGAAACTCAGGTACTTAAAAGGATGCTTGTTTTATCTAGTGGATCTAATGCTGTGTCGTGTGACAGATTCCATCTAATTCCACTATCTGCAGACTTTGAGGAACTGCCCCCTCCTAAAGCTCCTGGACCCTGTGTCCTCACCTGTTTAACATGGTTGATCATCTCCCAGTCATGCGCTTCATTTTGCCCAGCTACACGCTGAGATGAAAAGCATGAGATTGGGGAGGTAGGGGTGGGAGGCCTGGGCTGGCAATGGGCCCTGAAATTTCCCAGTGGCCCTTAGAGTTAAGCATCCAAGTCTCTAGTTCTCCTTCCAGAACTGAGGTACAGCCAGCTTTTTCCAGCAGTGCCTATGCTCTGAGCCATGAATTTACGTGTGAAAATCCCACTGGGCCCTCTGCCTGATTCACCCCCAAGGTGTCCCAAATGAAATCCACCTTCTCCCCAGGCCGCCCCCTTGCCAGGTTCCCTGAGAAGGAAGCCAACACCTGCTCCTTCTGCATCTCTACCAGCTCCTTTGTCTACATCTGATACCTAGCTATGTTTCTAGAAGTTCCTCTAGAAAACGCTAAAAGCAATCGATTGCTAAATCCCAAATATTCCCAACATCCCTACCACCGGCCACACCCACTGTGCCAGCTGCCAATGCCACATTACCCTTTGTGAGGGTCATTTCAAATCATGCCCAGTGGTCTCTGTTCCCCTAGGACTGTCCTAAACTCACGGCTTCCTGAGAAGATGCTCAGAGCACTCAGAGGATGGAAGCCAGGCCACTGCTGTCACTTCCTTTGCTACCCACTGCTGTGGGCCAGGTGTCCTGGTGCCCAGCCTCTGCGGGCTGCACAGCCTTTTGAAATGTCTTCTCTCAGAAGCTAGCAGCTGGAACAAAGAGGGCACGGACTCAGTCCACAGGCTCCGCTCTGGCCCGGGAGGTGGCTTGACATTTTGATGGCATCTCCGACTCCCATCTCACTCCAGGCACAGCTTGACAAGGACCAAAAAACCATTAAAGTTTCACTTTCAAAAACACGACAAAGTAGTTTTGCAAAATAATCATTCTCAGGCCAGGGAGGTAGCTCAGGAGAGGCTTGCCTGTGTTCGGTTCCCAGCGTGGGTGGGGGCGCTGTTCTCACCCCAGACCCCTTGTCTCCCACCTGCCTCCTCTCCAATGGGGTGGGGCGTGTGCCCACTTGCTAAGCATTGCATGTTTTCAGCCAATCAGTGCCGACCTCATCACAAAGCCTCCACTTCTCCAAGAGTTTCCATGGTCACGCTCATTAACCCTCAACCATTAAGCAGACTCAGAAGCTTAGTAGGGGCTGGACTTGCAGTTAAGAGACAGCCGTGACTGATCTCAGGATGCACCTGCCTCCCGAGGGAGCCGTGCCCTTGATTCCTGAAAGCACAAGGGCCGGGACAAACACGGGCCACGGTGACAGGAGCCACGGAGCGGATGAACTAACACCTTGCTCCACCTCTGACCTCCTCCTGCACAGGCCAGGGACGCAGGCCAAGTGAGTGTGGCGCTCACAGTGCCTGGCATGGAGTGGGTGCACTGGAAATTCAGGGTTTTCAGAAAGTACTGAATGAAGGCTTTCTGGGAGCACAACTCCAACACAGGTGCTCCAGGCGCCAAGGTGGCAGCCAGGTGGGGGCGACGTGGAGCGGGAAGGCACAGAAGGAGCTGCTACGGGTGGGGACGGTGCTCATGTCACCGGGTCACCCAGGAGGGTACAGAGCCCCTGTGCAAAGGTAAGGGTTCTCCTCTTCTGAGCTGTGGAGAGCTGTCTGTTACGGGGATACATGGCACCAAACGGGACCACTGGCAACGATCACTGTGCCCCCTCTTGGCCTGTGAGAAGCCCGCGGCCCCTTCTCTCAGGGCGCTGTGGTTCCAACGGTGGGAGGGCTCAGCCTCCCTCCCAGCTGCCATGCGCGGCCTGCTGTCAGCCTCAAGGCTGCAGAAGTGGCAGCCCCTGTGTTACCCGCCCTCGTGCCCTACACCCCTGGCTCAGGTCACCGCGGCGGAGAGCTTGGCAGGGACATCGGGCAGGTTTGCCGCCTGTGGCAGGTGAGATCCAGGGGACCTGATGCTTTTTAATCACAGTCCCAGAAGAAACGAGGCAGACATGTCCCACTCTGGGGGCTGGGCTGTAGTTTCGGAATGTGACAATTTATTTGGGGGTAAAAGGCTTTTCACTCCCCTTTCCTGGCATACAATATTGAAGAGCAGCAGAACAAAACGTACAAGACAGAGTAATCAGCACGAACCTGCCCTCCCCTGGCCCAGAATTCACTGAACCCAAAACAAGAGAACCGAACCCACACCCAAAATAAACCCTCCATCTCCATCCGGGAGGGGCAGGGTGGACTGGGCGGCCCACCCCCACTTCCCTCCCGCCAGCCTACTCCATTCCCGTCTTTTACCACTGGAGGCGAAGTTTAGCCAGCTGGGAGCTGGATGGTTGAACCACAGACAAAGGCAACAACACTTCATCTTAAAAATGCGCGAGAGAAAAAGAGACAGTGCCCCTTCCCAAATATAGAGCTATATACGTATATTTTTATATATATAGAATTCATTCGTGCACAATTCATTAAATGAGCTTTTCAAAAATTAAAAAAATTATAAGATACATTATTTCTTCAGGCCTTTGTGTTTTTAAATTAAAACCAACAAAAGTCATCTCCATCTCCCCTGCACCCAACAGCAAGCAAGGGCAGGCTGGATTCGGCGCCTCCCACCTGGCCCCTAGGGAGCGGGTTCCCCCACTAGACCATCAGCACCCCCGCCCCGCAGCCTAGCTGATGCTCTGCATACAGTAGGCGCTCACTCACTGGTGGAGCGGAGTGCTGATTCCTTCAAGGCTTGAGGGGATGTGCAGGCTGGGAGGTGGGGTCCTGGACCCCTACCCAACCGGCTCCCGACTCCCATATCTCGGTGTTAGCAGGAAAAGGGGTCAGAGAGCCCTCTCTTAGGGCCCTAGCCCCTCATCCTGGGCTTTCTGAATTGAAAGGAGATGCAAACAGAGCAAAAAGTAAAACCTTAAACTTCTTTTTTCTTTTAAAAAGTGATTCCTCAAACCATACAAGCCCCAAAGAGGCTGCCTTGGGCTAGTGCATGGGAGCCCGGGAGCGGAAATAACCAGGCAGGGCTCCACTGTCCAGCGTGGGCGAAGTGCAAAAAGAAAAAATAAAAACAAACCCCAAAAACCAAACCACAGAAAAGGGAAGAAAAGGAGGCATCTTCTTGGGTGCCCAGAGAGACTGCACCCCAGCCTCCTGGGACTGACAGAGCTTCCTCCTCTAGGCTGACCCCTCAGCCGTAGGCTGCCGAGCTTGGGCATCCTTGTGCTACCCTGGGGGTCCCTACCTTTTCAAGGGCTGTTCTCCAAAGGCCAGGGCAGCCTGGGCTATAGGCCTGCCATGTCACCCCAAGGAAGCAGCTTAGCTGCCTCTCAAATGGGGTCACCCTCTTACTCTGCCCGCCTCACCCAGACACTGGGGACTCAATCGATGGTCACCTCTTCCCCGATCAGAGGGAGGAGGCTCATTCTGAACTTAACCCCTTTGCAGGGTTGAGAATAAAGGGGTCTATGGGTGCCCGGAGGCCCCAGGGCCAGCAGCCTGGAGCAACCCTAGTCCTTAGACACAAGCAGTGGTTCAGCCAAGGCCTTGCCGCCCTGAACGCCCACTTCGTGGAAAGACAGACCAAGGTCAGAAGGGAAATGAGACAGGGAGGGGTCCCCACTCTCCTACTCAACCCAGAGACACCCGACTTCACCTGTTTCCTACAACGCATGGGTGGGGAGGGTGGTGCATTTAAGGGGAGATAACCGATGTCCGAGAAATACTGGACACCCGAGATTGGGCTTTGGGGGTTATTTCACATACAAAAATAAAGCAAACCAGATTGCAACTTCTGCTTGGTAATTAGGCAAATGGGAAAGCAGCAAGGGGTGGAGGAGGGGCCCGCAGGAGGCTGGTCATGTGCAAGCGTGTGGTCAAGGGCATGTGGGCCTGCGCCGTGCCTCCTGGGAGATGGGAGGGGGCTTGGCTTGCTGTGGATCTGGGGCCCACCCCGCCCCTCAGGGCACGTGCGCCTGCAGGCAGCCCGCGTGCTAGGGAGAGGGGCGGCAGCATCTCCCCACCACCCAGCACGGTCTCCCGGGGCCCGCAGCTCCCTGCAGCAGGCATCCCTCTCCTGGCCAGGGAAGTTCAGGGATGTCAGGGTCTTTGGGGTGATGGGGGGAGCTGCCCTCCCATGGGGTGGCAGTGGTAGGGACCAGATGGCCCAACAAGCTGGCAAAGGGAGGAGGGCAAGAAACCAAACTGCCTACTCACCAGCCTTCCTACAGAAAATCACCAACTGCAGGCCGGGGGAGGACCCTGTAGACCCCCTCGGTTCCCGAGTCTTGGAGCCCTCAGCATCCATCTGCCTGGCGCCCCAGCTTCAGGCCAGCTCCCCTGGGACAGGCTGTCGCCCCTCCCTTTAAGCAAGGACAAGGATGGGTGTGGAAGTCTGGGCCCAGGTTGGCAGAGAAGTCTCACCCACCTGGGGCCAAAGAGGAGAGGTGGCCGGAGGCCAGGCTGGGTCCACACTGCCAGCAGCCCCAGCCCGGCCTGCCTCCCTAACCTCACCGCCTCGGCTGTGCAATGCCGCGCTACTAGGTTCTCTTTAAATATCTTTCTCCCCCCACCCCACTCCCTTAGGAATCCCGCCATAGTTTTTTCTATTTCTTTTTTTCCTCTTTTTTCGCTTTTTTTCCCTTTTTTTTTTTTTTTTTTTGCAAAACTAATTCTTTCACTTTCCTGTCATAAAATCACCTCTGAAAACACAACTTCTTTACAAAAAAAGTCACCAATGACACGGACGCTCAGGAAAACACATTTCTATGGTCTCTGGAAACACCTGTAACTGGTACCCAGGCAGGCGGCACCTGGGAAGGGGGTCGGGGGAAATCGCCTCTAAGGACAGAGGAGAAATACCAGCCCTTATTTGGGGGAAAAGCCAATTGGCACTTGGACGGTCACAGAGCCTGCACAAAGGGTGGGGAAGGGGGGACCCAGCAGTGCCACCCCCTCAAACCCTGTGAGGGCCCCTGTTCTATACCCTGCAGTGGGGAGGGCGAGGCTATGCTGCAGGCCTGGCAGGGACACGCAGAAGAAAGTGTCCTCCTCTGAGGACCAAGGTGCTGGCCATCCGACCTGGTCCCCTTCCCGCCTGCCTCTTGCCATCCTGCTTCTGAACGAGGTGCCTACAGCTGCACACACCCGGAAACCAGCTCCAGCCACACGCAGGAACGAGCCACCCACACCCAACTGCATCCCAGGCAGTGGTCAAGAGTAGGCCAGCACCCCCCTGACCCCCTGGCCGTCCTGAACACGTGGTCTCTCCCCTTTGGTCTGCCTACCTCCCAGTGCCCGACCTAAAAGTAGGGCTTTGGTCACTACTGTTGGCATGGAAGCCTGGGTACTCAGGCAGCACAGGGCGATGGAAGCTGCCCGGGCATCCCGGCCTCCCGTGGCTTCAAGCAGGCTGGTGTGTGAAAGCCTTGGGGATCAGAGGCCTACGAGGGGGTGGGAGAAGCTGGAGGTGCTTGGGAAGTCTCCAAGGTTGCCTCCTTTCTCCCTGACTGCTGGGTGGAGGAAGGCTGGCCAGCTCTGCCACAATGCTTATCATGCCATGACTGCAGGCCGGGCCCAACCGGCCAGACTGACACCCCCAGAGAAGGGCCCAGGGATCACTGCCCCCAGTGTACCGGGCTGGGAGGAGGCCTGGGGCTCCCACAGCAAAGTGCTCAGGCCTGACTATGCCAGGCCCCGCCAAGGTGCACCTGGGGCCAGGCCTTTAGGACCCTGTTCCGAGGAGGTGTAAAGATGCCAACAGGAAAAGTTAGCACCCAGCACCCAACACACATACAGACCCACATACACACTTGCCCAGGGCAGACATACACACGCAGCGGAGTCCCCAAAGCAGGTGCTTGCAGCACCTTTGGTCGAGAACTGCAGGGCCCTTTAGATGCCCGGAGGTGGTGGTAGGGCGCATTCTGGGTTCAGAAAGGCAGGATGGGCACCAGGGGCCTCAAGGGGCCTGGTCCAAAGTGGCCGCTAAGCTTGCTGCTGGGCAGAGGAGCCCACCTGGCCACGTCCTTCACTCTGGGGCTTTGCCGGATGGGCAGAAGGGGCTGTGCCCACCCTGGATGGGGTCTCCTAAGGGCCCCTCAGCTGCCGGGTTAGCACCGAGATCAGACGCTGTACACGAGAGCAAGAAGCAAGCTGGGAGAGGCGTCGGGGCGGGATGTGGACAGGGCAGGTGAACCCCAGGTCTGGGGCTCCCCAGAAAGCACACAGCAGGCCCCACTGTGCACGGGCAGGGACGGTGACAAGAGACAGGACGGAGCCTTCCTCGGTACCCGGCCCTAACCCCGTCCAGGACTGCCCTGCTGCTGGCCTTCGCGGGGGCCAACTGCCCGGCCCATCCCTGGGTCAGCGCCGAGCCATGTGAGACAAGCAAAGCACAGGCGGACGGGTCTAAGGGCAGAGGTGGGATGGGAGCACAAGTGTGACTTCGGACAGGAGGCCCCCCCACAGCCCCCCTCCTGGGGGCGGCCCTCACTTGCTTACCCCACTGCTACCAAGCCCCCCTGCAGCACCTGCTACCCCAGCAGCCACCTTCTCAAAATCCTCAGGGTTGCAGAATTCCTTGATAGTGACCGTCAGGAGGTTGCTGGTGACATCGGTGACGACCACATTGGAGCAAGGTGACATCTCTGGGCGCCAGTCCCCAGCCTCAGGCTCCGAGGAGGCACTGGTGGGCTCTGGGGCCGAGGGAAGTGCCTGCCCGGCAGCAGGAGTGACATCTGGAGGCGCCCGCTTGCTGGTGGCTGCCGACTCAGGAGGGATGGACAGGTCGAGCACCTCGGGCTCGCGCCACTCAGGGGCAGAGGGGCTTATGGTCTCGGGGAGCAGCTTGGGGGGCGTGTCGTCGGGGTCAGAGGAAGACTGCGGTGTGGGTGAGGGGCAGCCGGAGGAGCTGGAGCTGCGGGCGTCGTAGGTGGCCGTGGGGGTGGCCAGGAGCAGCCCCGGGCCTGGGGAAGCAGCAAGGTCAGCCTTGCCGGCGGGAGGGGGCGACAGCGGGGCGGGCGGGGGCTTGTAGAGCGCGAAGGCTCCGAACTTCATGTGGCGAATCTGCGTGCGCAGCATGCTCTCGCTGAACTTCTTGCTCTTGCCGATGACGCGATTCCTCGAGGGCACTTTGGGGCGGGCGAGCGCCCCTGCGCCCTGCCCGGCGCCCCCGGCACCCGGGCCCTTGTCTATCACCTTCAGGTTGAGGATGATGCGGTTCCGCTTGGGCTCTCGCGGCTTCACCTTGCGATTGATGATGCGAACCGTCTCGGAGAAGGGCGAGATGGGCGGGCGCAGGCCGGGGCTGCCTCCCTGGGGGTCCGGACGGGGCAGGGGGCGGCGGGACATGCGGTGGCAGCGGCGGATGTCCTTCTTGAGCCTGTGCACGGCCGCGCTGGAGTGCAGCTTGGGCGAGGAGGCGCTGGCGCTCGGCTTGACAGAGAAATGCACATCACTGACGCGGAGGGCCTCTGCCTGGGCCCGGGCCTGCGGGCAGAGGGGCGTGGGTGGGACCTCAGGGCTTCCCGCTCCCCCGACCCTACCCTAAGCGGGCCTCTCCATGATCCGTGAGGACAGGAAGCAGTCAGTGGCACCTATGACCCCAACTTAGAAGAGGAAACCGGCCCAGGGAGGTGGTGCAACTTGCCTAAGGTGGAGGCCGGGCCCAAGTCAAAGGCCCGGGCAGACTGGGGGCCCTGGGGACAGACTCTGGTCAGCCCTGGCCTGCCCAGCATCAGCAATCAAGATGTAACACCTGCGAGCAGCCCTTGCTCAGCTCCTCTGCTGAGGATCTCAGCCCCGCCTGGGACACCTCCAGGGACCAATGCTTGGTGACAGAAAAGAGGGTGAGTCCTTGCTGCTCACCTGCTACCCCAGCCCTGCCTACTTAATGTCCCTGATGCCCTGGGTCTCTGTGCCTTTGTCTCGGCTGCCCTCCAGCTCCAACCTGCCTCCCGCAGACTCCCACTTCTTGGTTCCTCTCCGTCCTCGGCCCCCTCTCATGCTCCCAGCGCCCTTGCCTGTCCTCCTGGCTCTGCTTCCCCGGTGGCCTGGGCCTGCCTCACTATGAGTTGTGGTCAGTGATTCCAAGGCCTGAGCTGGAAGCCACACTGGCCAGGTAAGTTTGGTGGGGTCAGGTCTGCGAGTGGGCCAACCTCTCCCCATCTCTATGCCCAGGAGGCAGTGGGCAGGACTGAGGCAAGGTCTGTGGGCAGCCTGGAAAACAGTCCCAGGTTCCCTCCAGGGCTGGGGACTCTCAGGGCTCTGCACAGCTCACTTGCTTCCTCATGGGAGACCCCGGATACAGCAGGGCCCTCAAGAGACACCAGATCCCAAGGAGTCAGAGGTCCCCAAATGGAGAGAGGATATCAAGGGCAAATAAACTGTCCTCTGCTTAGATATGGCCTCCCCCAAGGGGCTGTGGTCTGTCATGGAGGGAATGCAGAATGACTTGGTGCAGCATAGGAAGCACAGCTGCCCAGAGGAGTCCAGCCAGGGCACAGACCCCAGCAGAGGGTGGGATGCCAGTATGGACGCTGACATCTGTCTGGACGGCATCCTGGCCCTTGCAGAGCACCAGCTGTGCCCAGGCAGCTCCCGAGGCCATGGCGGCCTCGGAAGGTACGTGGTGTAGAGGCAGAGGAGGAGGCCTGTGGGCCAAGCTCCAGGGGTGAGAGGACAGAGCCAGCAAGGGCTGAGGCTGTCGCTGGGGATCTCAGGTTTACAGATGCCCTGCTTCTAGGTAGGTGGTGACCACCTTGATCCAGACCAGGCGGGGGTACACATTCCCACATGCTGACATGGGGTATTTGGGGCACCACAGAGCTGGGCGCTTAACTAGTACCTAGGGGACAGCCTGTAGACCCTCAGACAAGGCTAGACACCTGACACCCGAGAACATGTGTTGTTGACTGACTTCCCCAACAAGTGTGGATGTCTTCATTTAGAATGTGGCCCTCGGGAAAAACATTTTAATGCCAGTCCTCCAGGCCCAGCCTGGTGCCAACTGGGGCTGCCTGGGTTACAATTCTTCTGGCCACTAGATGGCAGCACACGAGCACCATGCCCAGGGTTTTCACTGCTCCCTAGGGACTGAGCCCCTCAGCCCTTCCTAGACAAAGGCAGGAGAAAGCCCAGGTTTGGCAGGCAGGGCCTTACTGCAGGTACATCCCCATGGGCACTCAGGGGGTGCCCTCTTTCTGACCCTCGGGGCCGGGGTTAGTCCCTCTGCATACTGCCTCTGTAACTAGGTTCCACAAGCATCTAGCGGTGACAGATGGTCCCTGGGGAGTGCCAGAGTGTGGACAAACGGAGACACAAGATGAACCTCCTGGACCTCACTTTCCCTCCCTGCACTCACAGCAGAACCTCCCACGGCACATCTGCGATCAGACGGCAGATGACATCTGCTTAGCATCCGCCTGGACACGGCAAGTACTCAGTTCACACCCAGTGCGCACCAGGGGCCTGGGCTTATAGAAATCGTCCCTTTCCAGTGTGTGCTCTCCAAACTGCCTACAAGAAATATTTCCTCCTTTATAATTTCTCAGTATCATTTTTATAATCTGTAAGAACCACGCTTCTGCCTGGGGTTGAGAATTCACTGAAAGCAGGACCTGGATTTGTCGGGCGAACTAAAAAGAATCGTAGCCAACATGTTCACTGCAGGACTCTGGCTGGGTGACAAGCATGTCCCCGAGAGCTGCTGTGTACTGCGGACAGCGTGACGAGTTTAAGCACCTGGCCTCTCCGTGACTGTGACCACTGACAAGTTACTAAATCTCGCTGGCTGAGTTTCCCTGGTGTGAACGGGAACAGTGGCAGTGGTCTGGCAGACTCCTGTGCCTTTCCTGGCTCCTAGCAGAAAGCGCTGTCTGCGTGCACACTGCTGACTCTGCCACACTGCCCAACAGTGGTCACACACAACGGTTCAGACCGAGCTGTCTCTTCCACCCCTTGCAAATACCAAGCTACCTGCTTCCCAAGGTCTGGATCAAGGTGCTGCCACTATCAGGCTCTCCATAACCCTGGCCCTGCTAGCTCCACATTCCTCCTGTGTGTCCTCACCTTTGCCTCTTAACCTGACATGTGCTCCTTGAGGGGCCAGGAAAGAAAAAGAGATGAAGCCAGGAAGCTGGGTAGCAGGATCTCAGGTAGATTATGTCCACTTTGTGGGCCTTGACTTTTCCTCTCTTTTCTTTTTTGAGACAGGGTCTCATTATGTAGTTCAGGGTGGCCTCGAACTCACGGGAATCCTCCTGCCTCAGCCTCCCAAGTGCTGGGGTTACAGGTGTGCACACACCTGGCTGGGCCTTGATTTTTTTTCTATCTGTGAAATGAGCTAACACTCCTCACTTCAAAGGGCTGTTGGGAGAATTACAGGATCCATGCAGAGGGTTCAGTACTGTATCAGGCCCATACATCAGCTCAGGAATGAACTATCAATAAAAGGTGTTTCGTGATTTTAGGCTCCTGAACATCACTGGCATCGCCTCTAGAGGGCGCTCAAGATGCGCTGAGAGGCTGTCAGAGCCTCCCAGCTGCTCCGCCTCATCCCTCCTGCCTCGAAGCACCACAGTAAGGTAGCTCCGTGGATCCCCTAAGATGTGCAGTGGCTGGGGGCGGGGGATGCAGAAATATGGAATTCTGGAAAGCAACATTTTTTCCACTTCTGCATTAAGTCCACAGCAACGCCCCCACACACGGTCCTATGGCTGGGGGAGGAGGCAAAGTGGGCAGGACAGGCCCACCCCACACCCTGGATGGGCTTTGAGCCTTTTGGACAAACGAGATTTAGAGGTTCTGCATGCTGCAGTGCCTTCTCCAAAAGAACCCCTTCCGATTGGGTGGGAAAAGTCACAAAATCACCAGCCTCTGGGTGGGCAGGGCCGGCACACACCTTTGGTAGGGAGACTGAGATGGCCCAGTGAGTCCCACCTTCGGCCTTGTCTGTCATCTTGTTCTCCTTTTCCCAGACACTGTAATTCCCACCAACGTCCCCAAGACCCTAAGATGGCTTCCTCTGGAAGTTCTTCCCTCCCGAGCCAATGTAAACAGGCTGCACTTTCCCCACCCATCCTCACTAAACCTCCAAGACCGGCCAGGACTGAGGAGAAACGGTGGCTCCTGGCCCCGAGGTCGCGGTCCAGGCTGATGGTAAACTCAGGCTGAACTGACTTAAGGCCTCAATCAAACTGGGCCCGGAGTGAGGCGCGGAGGGGTGCAGGATAAACCCCGAGACAGGCAGGAAGCCGGGCAGGAGCAGGTGGTCTCCCAAGCGCCTCTCCTGGCGCGCTCCTCACGCTCCACTCCCGGCACAGCCCCAGCGCTCAAGGCTGGGGCAGGTGAGGGAACACAAGGCAGAAACAGCCCCCTGCCACCCCCGCCCGGGGGCCTCCTCCCCAGGCCTCCCCCACCCCCGTCCTGGAGCCCCGCGCGCCCCCTGAGCCCGGCTTCCTTCGCAGGATTACCCCCACTCCCAGGCCCCGCGTGCCGAGCCTGCCGCGGCCCGCTGCCAGGGGCTGCTCGGGGGCTCCTCGCCACCCCCTGCCCAGCTGGGGCCTCCGCAAAGCCCGCCCGCCTGGCGGCCGCGGAGCTGTCCCTCCCTTCCAGGCCCCGCGCTGCGCAGGGCTGGGGGCCCGAGAGGGGGCTGCTGGGGCCGCGCCAGGTTACCTTCAGGAGGAAAGTTTTGGGTTTGGGTCCCCTCTTCTTGGGCCCATACAGCTCACGCTCCCTCTCCCTGCGGCCGAGAAACGCCAGAGGTTACAGGGAGCCCCTTCCCCGCCCCGGCCCGCGCGGCCCTCCCAGCTCCCGGCTCCCGCCCGCGCCCTGCCAGCTGGCCCGACTCACTTCTGCTCGAAGGCGGCGATGAGCCGCGAGTCCAGGATGTTCTCTTCGGGCTCCCAAGTGCTGTACCTGCAGGGCCACGCATGCATAAAACGACGGAAAAACCCGGGAACCCACGCGCGCCCCCTCCCCACGGCCCGGGGCCGCTGCCGCCCCTTCCCACGGCCCCGCGCCCCGCGACACTCACTTGATCGCCCACCCCTTCCATTTCACCAGGTACTCGATACGTCCCTGAAAAACAGAAAAGGAAAAAAGGGGGTGGGGGCGGGGAAGATGCGGGGCGCTCGCAGGCAGCAGCGCGGGGGCGGCCGACGGAGCCAGGTAGCGGGACCGCCTCGCCCCGAAGTCCCGCGGACCTGACACCAGCTCCGGGCGGAGGCTCACCTTGCGGATCCGCCGCTTGATGATGGATTCGGCCGCGAAGACCCGTTCGCCCACTGCAGACAGCTCCATCTTGCTCAGCGGCACCCACAGCCCATAATACTCCCTGCTCCCGCGGCTGGTGCTGCACCGCTCGCGCACGCGCGCAGCGCACAGGCCCCGGCGGGGCGCGCGCTCGCGTTCCAGCGGCGGGCCGTCACGTGACCCGCCCGTCCAGCGCGCCGTTGCCAGGACCTCCTCCTCCCCCGGGGCGGTTGCTAGGGAAAGTAAGAGCTGCCGGGGCGGGGTCGCGCGGTGGCTCTTAAAGGGGCCTTGCTTGGTAGTGGGGACCGAACCAAAGACCGGTGGATGGAGGGCTGGCTTGCGTCAAGCCGGGTGAGGCGCAGTGCAGTCTTACACTGCTCCCCATCATCTTACCGGCCCCCAGTCGCTGCCACCCTCTCCCCTTTCCGTAACCCCCACCCCCCGTGCCAGTCTTGCCAGGCCCAGTCGGGGAAGTGCAGTCTTGCGCATCCTCCTGTGGAAGTTTGCAAACAGTTAAATATGATACAGCAGAAATGCATTTGCTGTTGCCTTGCCAGGCCTTGCGGGAATTTCTTTAAGACATCACCCCCCTCACACACACACACACACACACACACACACACCCTTATCCATTATTTATGCATTCGTGGGAGTATGGTTTTGTAACCAGTTCAGATGAATTAAAACAAAAACGCCACCGCAGGAAAGAGGGGTGCAGTGAATCAGGCCAGGGAGACAGAGGTGAGCCTGGGCGTCCCGCTCCGGCCGTGGTCCCAGCGGCACCTGCCTCTCGCAGGAGGCCTGGCCACCGCCTACAGGACCTTGCGGCAGCGAGCGGGGAGGGAGAGGCCGTGGGTACAACGTCCCGCGCCCAGACTGGGTCCAAGCGGGTCATCCGTGGGTCACTCGTCAGAACCGCCCTCGTGGTCGCGTGTACGTGTTCTGGTTCTCAGGCCCCTCGCCACGTCTCTGGGCCGCATCCTTAGCGCGCTCGGCTGCTGGCTCCGCCATTGCCCTGGGGAGACTAGGGGAGGAGCTGCTGGGAGCGGCTGCCCCACCACGCGAACCCTTCCGTGCCTTTGATTTTCAAATAATTTAAACTTTTATTCTCTGTTATGCCAAAGATCTTGTTCTTTGCAAAACAAATCTTTAAAAAACATTGGAAGAAAAACAAAAACAGCACTGAGGCAGGCGGATCACCTCGCCTGGTCTACGTAGTACATTTGAGGCCAGCCTGGACCTCAGGGAGGCCCTGTCTCAAAAACCAAAGCAAAGCAAAGCAAACCAACAAAAAGCCCTATCCCCCATAATCTCCCAGAAACCTTTGTTAATATCTTCAAGAGATTTCTAGCCCATGTCCAACGTCGATAAAAACACACCTGTATGTGAATATGTCCACATATATGCATTGTATGTGCACATATCATATATATTTAATTTTTAAAACAAAATAGAATCATACTATTCACTGTTCTGGAGTCCCCTTTGCACCCTTAATGATAGGAATTGGACATCTTCCGGTACGGGTGTCACTGACCACAGATTTCACCAAATTTCCATGATTGTGCAGGGCTGAGATGGGGCAGGGAGGAATGGGAGTGAATGTGCAAGGACCAGGATTTTTTTCTTCCATTGCTTGTTTATTAGGAAGAATGGTTTTTTATATTTTTGGGCTGCAACACCTGTTTCGTTTTGTTTTGTTTTTGAGACAGGGTCTCACTATGTAGTACAGGTTGGCCTTAAATTCACTATGTAGCCCAGGCGTAAAATTCACTGCAATCCTCCTGCCTCAGCCTTCCAAGCGCTGGGATTACAGGCGTGCACCACCATTCCCCACACTACACCCACTCTTGCAGTTTTAAATTAGCCACATCAAAATTTCAGCTCTGCATCCCCGCAGATATGTCCAGGCATTACCTTGAGAGAAAGCCCTCCGTCTTTAAAATCTTGCGGCTTCTGAGAAACAGCTGATAGCTGGCAGTGAGCTTGGAGTCAGAGCAGAGCTGCCCTCCTGGAGGTGGGCAGGTGAGTTGTGCAGATGAGTGCATGTGTGAGTGCGTGTGTGCGCATGCGTGCGTGTGAAGACTTAGATGAAACAGATTATGCATTAATCCACTTGTTAGCCCATTCAGCAGCATTTCTGAACCTTTACTCTGTCCACCTTTGGGTTAAACCATCAGGAAGCAAAGGTGCGCCAGGGCTGGGAGGAGAGGGAGAAATGGGAGGGGGAGGGAGCAGAGAGGGGGAGGAAGAAGAGCAGGGGTCTAGAAGGGAGAGGAGAGCTCACTCTGATGCGAAGGGGACCTGCCCCGCCATGTGACTGGTACTAGTACACTACAGGAGCTTCTTGTTGCTGCTGTAACAAATGATGGCAAACTTAGTGGCTTGCGAGGACTCAATTCATTATCTTACGGCTGCGGAAGTCAGAAGTTCCAAATCAGTGTCGCTGAGCTGAGCTGAGCTGAGCTGAGGTACTGTCCATCTGGTTCCCGTCTCACGTTCTAGAAGAGTCTGATTGTGCTTTATGCAGCTTCCGGAAGCCGCTGCTGTTCCTTGGAGCACGGCTGTGGCCCTCCGACCTCTGCTTCCACCACCACCTCGCCTGACTGACCGCACGACGACACTGGGTCCCCCAAGCTCATGGAAGATAATCTGCCTTGTGCAACACGCCTAACTCACTTACACCTGCAGAATCCCTTTCTGTAGGGTAATGCCGTGGTACATGCTGAGTCATATCTGCAGGTTCTGGAGATTAAATTATGGGTATTTCGGGGAGATTTTCCAGCCCTCCACAAAAGACATGTTCAGGACACACGCGCCTAGGGGAGCAGAGGCCAGGAAGGCTTCCCATAGAGGACTGGCCTTTGTTTGCCAGCAAAGAGCTGAAGGGCGTCCGAGGGAGAGGGGGCAGTGTGGGCCAGTGCTCAGAGCTCCAGGACACCTGTGCTTAGGGGATTGACAGATCACGTGCTGAGGCCTGGGCTGAGGGTTGCGGCAAGGGATGGCACTGAAAGAGGGACAGGACCTTGAACGCTGGTTGAGCTCGGACTGTGTCATGGGCAGTGGAGCCTGCAGGGACTCGGCTGAGGAGTCCCAAGATGAGGTGACAGGGGACTGTGGATGCCAGGGTTTTTGTCCCTTTTCTTTTGGCAGTGGGGCGATGTTGTGAAAGTCCTTTTTCCCTGTCTGGGTCTTCAGTTCTCAGCTTCAGCATGGCAGGGTGGACTGGTGATTTTTCGTGGTTCATGACATTTTTCCATCGGTAAGTCTTGTTAAATCCCAGTTCACTGGAAGGTTTTGAGAGATTTACGACTCCTCCCGGAGGCCCGTCCTGTGGTTCTAAACTCCTAGAGATCATTTCTTTTCTATGAAACAAAGTCCCCTTCACTTCTAACCATCTATAGTTCTTTTTTTTTCTTTGTCTTTTTTGAGACAGGGTCTCGCTATGCAGTTCAGGCTGGCCTTGAGCTCACTTTGTAGCCCAGGCTGGTCTCAAACTTGCAATGATCCTCCTGCCTCAGCCTCCCGAGTGCTGGGATCACAGGCGTATGACACCACGCCAGGCCCACCTGTAGTTCTGACATTGGGTCCTACACCACGAGGGAGACAATGATCTGCCCAGAGAGGCTTCTCAGTTCGTGTGTGCTAGGGACCAACCTACAGCAGGAAGCCCCAGAATGCAGCAGTTTACAACACAAGGATTTATCGTCTCTCCTGATCATTGGGTTGGCTGGGCTCAGCTGGACACTTCTCTTTCCTGTTCGGTGAGGGCCGCTTAGGCGGCCACATCAGAGATAAGGCCAAGGGGTGATCTGCATCTGGGGCCTCAGAGCTGGCTGCTGGCTGGCCCTCTGTCTCCTAAGGCTATCGTCATTTCATAGCCTGGCTCATGCTTCCTTCTACGGCTATAGGAGCCACACAAGGTGGAAATGTCACAAGGTCTCTTAACGCTCAGCCTTGGAAGTTACGCAGTACAGCTCCCAACACATCCTATTGGCCAAGGCAAGTCACAGGGTATGGGGAGCTGAGTGAATTCAAGGTTCCCAGGGCTCCTGTCCCCTCCAGTGGCTGTGGCAGCCTTGTCTTGTGCTTGTCCTGTGGGATCCCCTCCCGTCCAGGGTGGGTGAGGCTTAGGGAAGTGCTAGGATTTTACCTCCATTATCAGTTTATACAGGAAGAGTAAGGTGACTTTACAGATGGAATTAAGGGTCCTGTGGGCTAACTCTGAACCACTCAAAAGGGAGTTTACCTTGGTCTGCCCTAGCTGGGGGAGCTCTTGAAGAGGGGCTGGGTCTTTTCCCAGGGGAGAGATTCAGAGCAGCAGAACTGCTCTCTTACCGGCCTTGAAGAGGAGATCACGTGCGGGAATGGCTGGTCCCTTCCAGGAGCTGAGGGCTCGCCTACAATGCCAAGGTCTTAATTCATCAACAACCCACGCATTTGGAGCAGGACCTGAGTTTTCCGTTGAGAATGCATCCTCGCTGACACCTTGTTTGCAACTGGGAACCTGAGCAGACTCTAGTAAGCTCTTCCTGGACTCCTGCCCTATCAGCACCAAAGAAATAAATGATCTTGCATCAAGCCTTTAAGTTGGTGATGTTTGTTAGCCAGCACTAGAGAACTAACCTATAAGGCCAGCCTAAGTTCAAGAGGGGGAGCAGACTCCGCCCCCCCCATAGCAGGAGGGACAAGTGGCCTCAGGGCTATCACAGTAACTTTCCCACAAAGTGGGTCCTATTCAGGACACTGTTCATGCTTAAAGCTGAGGGATCCCTGTGGTCAGATGCTTTTTCCCCAGTGGCCCTGTTATAGTTTAGGTCTAGAATGCCTGCAAAAGTCTCTTGCCTTCAGAGGTTGGGCTTTTAGAAGGAGTTTATACTCATCGGTGGATTAATGCACTGAACAGTCCGGCGCAGAAAGCACTGGTAAGGGACAGAGTCTGGTTGGAGGAGGCGGGGCTTGGTTAGAGGCGGAGCTTGTTGAAGGAGGCGGGTCCCTGGGGGCGTGGCTTGCAGGGGTTCCCCTCTGCACCTCCCTTTCGTCTGCTTTCTGACCGCTGTGACGTGAGCAGCTTTCGTCCCTCCTCGGGCCCCTCTCACCTTGCCGTTTCTGCCTTGGACTCAGTCAGCTGTGGACTGAACTGTGAGCCCAAGTAAACCTCTCCTTCTTTAAGTGGTGGGTGTTAGGTATTTTGTTCCAGCACTGAAAAAGTGACCAAGACAGATACCTGCAAAATTCTGGGGACTTCACTTTGACGACTTGCGCCAGTGAATGCCTCTGTATCTTTAGTGCAGCCGCTTTTAGGTGCCCGGCAAGTGTGGGCTGCACTAAGGAAGGCGCGAGTGTCGTGACACCTGGGCCATGCAGGAGGGTGGGTGCGGGGTGGTTAAAGTCTGTGTCTGCACTTGGGCCGGGGACGGACTGAGGGATGGGGTGGGCAGCTTTGTCCAGCGCTAGAATGTCGGCCTGGCCCTGGAGGCTTTGGGCAGTGGTAGAATTGGAAAACCAAGAGTCACTGTAGCGCCTCCTGTCCCTGACCTGTGCCCTCTTAATGCCAAAAGGTAGTGCCTTGAGGTCCTGGAAGGCTGGGCTGTGGGCTAGGTGTGGTGGGATGTGTGGCGCCATGCGGACGTTCATACGGACGTTCGACTCCATTCAACGTCGTATGGATGTTCAACTCCACACAATGTCAAATCTCGGCACTTGTCTCCATCATTTGAAAAGGACGTTCTGCGTCGCTGTGACATTGTCCAGGGCATGTTTGGGCAGTCTGTAGTGGGTCATTCAGGGGACCTGGAGCTTGAGTTCTTCCTCAATATTTGTCCGCACCAAATGGACACTTGTTCAAGGATGCATGGGAGGGTGGTAGGGAGCGGAATGCCAATTCCCAGTGCTTCCTGCTTCTGCCTGGGTGTGCACAGTGGCTTGGAAAGAGAACCACAGGGTCTGGCTGATGGGGGTCAAAGCACGTGGCTGGGGGCATAAGAAGGGACCTTAAGGAGCTCTGGGCAGAGAACCAACATTGCTGTGCAGGTGGAGACACAACGCTATGAGTATGGAGTTTGTGGGCTCTGAACTCTTCAGGTTTGTTCCTACCCCAGGCCCTTGGCACATGCTGCCCCAGCAGGAAAACCCACCTTTTCTCCTTATGATTGTGTGGCTCACTCCCTTAGTTCTCAGTCCATTCATATGTCCCCTCTTCAGAAAAGTTTCTTCCAACTTCCTTATAAAAGGGGGTCTCTGTCTTTCTGTGTCTGTCTGTCTCTCTCTCTCTTACACACACACACACACACACACACACACACACACACACTGATGTCTCAGTTTCCTTTCCTGGTCCTCAACTCTGCCTGGGATCACATCCAGGTTTTATGTTAACCATAGATTTAATGCCTGACTCTCCCACAAGAAGCCGAGCTCCACAGGGCAGGGACTTTGCCCACCTGGCTCCCGCTTGACTTCCATTACTAGCACAGGACCCTGCATACAGCAGGTGCTCAGTTAATATTTGTTGGATGCGTGCGTGGGGCCTTGAAAGGGTTTCTCACGAGTGATATTGTTCACATGACATATTCAGGGATTCAGACCCAGCCCACCATGGCTGAATCTCTCCCTCCTCCCTCCTTGTGCTGGGTTCTAGAAATGCAACCTGAAGATGAGATTTGTGCTCTCAAGGAGCCCAGGGCCATGGAGAGATGAACAGATGCAGTGGGAGCTGTCCTAAACCTCTGGGAGCCCCGGTTTTCTTCACATGCGAGTTAGAGATATTCGTTCCTATCTGTACCACTGTCGTGAGGAGGACGACATCTGATACGGCAGCATTTATGGCACCTGGACCTCCGCCGGGCACAGTGGAGCTCTGCAATGAGGCAAATGTGTGTGTATGAGCCCAAGGAGCTCATACTTCAGCAGGAATGCACACACATATGCATAAACTCAAAAAATAGACACTTCCAGGGCCCAGGGTATAGCTCAGTGGCACAGTGCCTGCTTGGTAAGTGCGAGGTCCTGAGTTAGATTCCCAGTACAAAAAAAAAAAGACAGACACTTCCAGGCCTTTCTTCCACTGAAAGTGTATTAGACCCCTTCTAGAAATTTAAATTATATGAGTGAAAATTATCAACAGCCAACACTCCTTATGACTCAGGATTCTAAGTGCTTTGTATATGATAGTAACTAACGTAGTCCTCAGAACAGTCCGACTTGACAGGGATGGTTATTTTTCCATTTCACTGTGAGGCTGTCGGATTTCCACTCACATGTGGAAGACAGAGAGAGGAACAAGGCTGGAGCTGTACGCTCCTCCCTATGCTGTGTGACCCATGGTGATGTAATCTGACCTACGAAGCTAGGGACCAAAAGGCAAAGGCAGGGGCTGGGGTGACAGATGTGAGTTGCAAAACCTGAAACATGTGTCCACCTTCCAAAACATCAGGCTATGAAATTCTGTGCTTCTCAGAATGGCTATTTTTAGAAAGAGGGCTGTGGAATTGTCTGGAAATATGCCCGAACATGCTCATAATTGGGCATTGCTAGTGTTGGCAGGAAGATCACTGGGAAATGCAGTTCAGATGCAGGCATTTCTGTGTTTAAGACTTCAATATTAGGGCCTGGGGATTTAGCTCAGCAGCAAAAGCACCTGCCTGGCAAGCGCAAGGTCGTGAGTTCGGTTCCCGGTACCGGAGAAAAGCCAAAAAAAAAAAAAAAGACTTCAATATTGAAGGAGCCAAGACATTACCCGTTAAAAAAGCCTCTCTGCAGCTCATCATGGTCTCCAGAGGAGGCCGAGCTCTTCCCCACACCCGCATCCTGCGCACCTTCTTCTTTGGCTGACCACCTGCTGCTCCCAGAGCAATCCCTGCCTCGGGGCCTTGGCACGTCCCAAGCGCCAGCAGCTGCTTCCTTTTCCTCCTTAGATCTCAGCTCACACAAGGTCCTCCAGGCCTGCCCTGCCCACCCGAGCAGGGCGTCTTCTGAAACTCAGTGCTGAGCTCTCCTCTGTTGGAAGCCAGATCTGGCCCTCCCGGGTGGAACTGGCCAGGCTTCCTCTGCTCTCTTCAGGTTTTTGCAGAGTTCTGAGAACATAGCAGAGTTCTCGTCACTTGTCACCTCCTCCACTCAGCCAGGGACCCCAGTTCCCAGGCAACCCATATTTACTGGGCTCCTGCAATGTGTTGTGCCCAGTTCTAGGTGATAGGGACACAGCAGAGAAAAGACAAGTCCCAGGCCTCAGGACGCTCAGGTTCTTATGGGAGCAGCTGACAGTGGGCACACAAAGCAAGGGGACCATTTTGAGGGCGGGTGTGGGCTGTGAAGAGACTGAGTGGATTGTGTGGTAGAGAGGCTGGGTGTGAGTATAAGATACTAAACTAGGGTACAGGAGGCCTTGGGAGGAGCCATAGCTGAGAGGAGACCAACAAGAGGCAAAGGAAGCAGCTGCAGATTCTAGGGAAGAGCTTTCCAAGTGGAAGGGGCAGCAAGTGCAAAGGCCCTGGGGCAGGGACACGCTTGCTGTAGCTGAGAGTCTGGACAGGGAGACTGAGCTGAGTGAGGGAGGCAGGGCCCCATGTGCAGAGCCTTGAGGTGGGGAGGAGAGCGTGGGCCTTGCTCCAAGTGCAGTGAGGAAGCTCCCGGAGGGAACTGCTGCAAGAGGAGAGGGCCCGGGAGCAGGAGCTCAGTGCAGAGCCACAGCCTTGGGTTTGCTGGTGAGGTTCAGATTCTGGGCCTGGCTGCTTCTCACATCTGCCGCAGCCCGGCCTTCTCTGCTTGTATCCAGGAGGCAGAAGGCTGCACACAACAACAGAAAGAGCTGTCTCGAAAGACTCCAAGCTGGGGCCGTCTCCTCCATCTCACTGCAGCCGTCTGGCTGTGGATGCTGGAGGCCCCTAGCGAGGCTGGCGGGAGTGGCGGGGAGCAAGGCCACGGTTGGGGGAGCCCTGGCTGGGCGATGACATCCAGGGACACTGGCTCCTGCGGGCCCTGCACCCCATGAACCATTCTTCTCGTGCCAGACAATGCAAAACAGATGGGAAGAATCGCAAAGTCCTCATCTGTTCCCTTTCATCTCGAAGCTCTGTACAAACTTGTCCTCTTCCTGCTCTTCCTGTTTTGCTGGGAAACTTTTTCTCCCCCAGCTCCTTCTCAGTGGTTTAGGGGAATGCCGTTTCTCCAGATGCTGCTTCACAGGGCTGCTGGGCGGCGGGGCACCCTTGGGATCCATCCACCGGGTCCAGGGAGACCCTTGCCCCAGCATGGCCGGTGTGAGGACCGTAGGAGGCTGTGGCTGCACTGGGCCGCTGACCACCTGCTGTCCCCAGCAACCTGACCTCAGTGCCCTGTTCCCACTCCTGGCGGGGACCAACGTAACTGGGGCCAGGGTCCTGGCTGGAGGAGGACCTCCTGCTGAGGGCTACTTCCCTTTTACCTTTTCTTCCCCATCTCCTTTCCTGGGGTCTGGAGGGGTTTCTTCGGGGTGAGTGGCAACATCAAAAACCTGCTAATAGGGAAAACCAACAGGAAGCTCTGTGTCCCACTGTCGCCTAGCTTTAAAAGGCAGCTTCTAAGGGTTAAAGGAGG